AATGACCAGGCTCAAATTATCCTACTTCAGACACATTATGTGAAAATCTAACTCTCTGGAGAAGGCTCTGGTGCTGGGAAAGGTGGATGGACTCAGTTATAGTGGTGATGAGTGCACCGTTGGAAGACCTGAAAGACTAGGTTAGAGACAGTTTGTCATGGAGAAAATCTACCTGTGTGGTCACTAAGAGTTGACAATGACTTAACAGGACATAATCAATCAACCAAAAAGGTGGATGGAAATGATTTTGCAGTTGTGACATGTAATGGTTGGAATATTTTGGTTTTGAGGGAAGTAAACAATGTCATACATGAGCCCCAAGTGCAAATTTATTGTGATGTTGAAGAAAGGGTAAGAGGACAGGAATAGCAAGAGAAGATGAGCTGAATCAAATAAGAAAGGTACTATAGCAAGAGCTGACACTAGAAGCACACTCCAGAAGAAAGAGAAATAGGGACCTAACAAAAGCTCAGGGAAGAAGACTGAAGGTCAGGTGCTTTCTGTGCTGCTGGAATTAAGAAACTGATTTCATGCCATTGCCGAAGACATGCTAATACAAAAGAGCAACTGGAGACCTTTCTGAATAGCAGAAATGGGGCTAGAAACTTGCCAAGTTAAGGAGGTTCCATTTTGATTGCTATGCTACTTAACACTGTCATGAAGTTGCTCAACTAGACCTTTGGAATGAGTTGCACCGATATGCTGGTAACTCTTAACTTTACTGTTCACTGCCATCTAACTCTAAGGAAGCAGTTAGTTCCTGTCATCATAGCCAAGGTAGAGCATGGGTTTCATGTAGGTAACCAAGTTAAAACTGAATCCAGACAAGGCAGAGGTGTTGTTGTAGAAAGAGATCAAATTGTGAGATTGGAGCAGGAAGTCTGCAGCCTGACTTGATCCTTGAACTCTTAACTCTCTCCATGTAGCAGTCAGTGGCAAGAAGTGAATGTGTACAACTACATCTTATAGACTAGCTGTGACCACTCCTGAACTGTTTGGAACTGACAACAATATCCATGCCTTGTGCAATGTGTCCTGTAGGAGGTGTTAAGCAACCCTACAGGGACAGGGAAAGGTTAATTGCATAAGCGAGGTGATCTCTTGGTGATTGCGAGGTTCTGGAATATTCCCTTAACCTTGCCGTGTTTGTTAACCTCATTACTGTTCCTTTCTTTTCTTTCATGGTATGATCACCTAAAATAATGTCTTTTCTCCTACACACTTCTGAACATTAGTATTTTTTGAACTGTAAATAAAGTACTTGTTAGTCTATTTGAAGATGGTGTAATTCTTCAAGAGGGGAAATTGCCTCAAGAAGGGAGGGAGGAAGAAGAGGAGAGAAATTAAGACAAAAAGCAGAATGGAGACTAGTTAAAAGTGGTAATCACAAGACTGCCCAATAATGTCAATTCTTTATCATGCTGCTTGCTGCATAGAATAACTCATACCATGCAATAGGAGGCTAACCAAAGGCTTCAGGTGGTGGAAGATATGGCAACTCAACTGATAGTTGCTACCTGTTAGCAGATATTAATTGTTACCTGCTAACTGGGATCCTATTTTGAAAGAGCTGCACTGACTGCCAGTGGTTTCCTCAACACTGTTCAGGCTGCTCCTCTTAACTCTTGGGCAACTCTCAGTCTGTTGAGCATTATCTTGTCTGACAAGTGAGCTTATCTGAACAGAAAGCCAGACTTTTTTAGGCACAGTACTAACGATTTCAGACGCTTAGATTGCTTTTCACTTTGTTCTATGTCAGAATCCTCGCAATCAATCAATCAATCAATCAATCAGTCAATCAATCAACCGCCTTGCTAGTTTGCTTGCTTTGATTCTGTCATTACAGTGATGGGCAGGAAGGGAGGAAGGTTGGGAGATTAACCGTTAGGCGCAGATGGACTGTTATCTGGCTCTCAGGAACGCCCAGGGTCGTACCAGCATGAGACCTGGAGAGAATCTTTGACATGTGCAAGAGAGACTCAAAGACAGAAGGGGGAAGGGGAAAGGGGAATGAGGAAAAGCTAAATTTTGGTGCCTGCGGGACTGGTTTCAGTGGGAGTTGCTTTCATTGGGAACTGAGTACTGTGGTTCTTACATTACCCTTGGTCAACAGGGTGAAGGGCTCTGTGGGTTGAACGCTGGCACGTATGTGAACACAAATCAACCATGAAATAAGCTTACCTGCCGAGTGTATCTGCCAAAAAACCAGACACCAGTGAGCCAAACATCCCTCCCAGTGGGAATAAGGCAGTGTTGATCGCCAGCAGAATGACTTGATATTCTGGTTTCTCTAGCACATGAAATGAGGAGGCGTTATAAAACTCTCGCAGGAGCTATGAGAGAAGGACAAAGCAGGCCGGTGGCATCAAAAACCCAGGTCAGGGACCAATTGAATGTTGGAGGGCAGTGATGCAGCCAGATAAATGTGAGCAATGACTTGACAAATGGCCTTGTGGATTATTTCATTTATAAAGAACGTTACAATTTGCTAACTCAAGAGTAACTCTAGTTTGAAAGAAAAGCACTATTGCACAATAGCATTGTTTCTCAACCTTGGCACCTTGAAGATGCGTGGACTTCAACTCCCAGAATTC